GCCACACGCCAGGAGACTGGAGTGCCCCCCGTGACCCTTCCTTGAGGCTTTCCGGGTACTCCGAATCCACATCCTGAACGTCGCAGAGCAGCTTACGGATTACATCCATTGTCCAGGAGCAGGCTGAGAATGCTTCGGCATAATGAAGTCCCGGATCTCCTGAAGGACTGTCTCCGGGAATGGGTGCTGCTTTGCACCAGAGGCCGTAGAAACCAAAAACACCGAGACTAAGGGCAGAGGCCTTGTGCTTGATGAATCTGCCCAAGAAGGCGTGTATGGTCCCATTCTCTTGTCTGGAGGGACGCGTCCTGGCAAGGTCTTTCCTCCTCCATCTCAGAGAGCTCGGACCTTAAAATCATGGGCAACTCGCATGTGGTTGCGTCATCCAGAGACAGCTTTTCGAACAGCGGAAGCGTCGAAGGCCGATCAGACCCCACCACAATGACAACTGGGCCGCTGTGTGCAAATGATCGCTGGCGTGGCCACATGCACCAGGAAGCCCCGCCTCTTGACGCTGCCCTCCCAGTGAGGGAACCAATTGGCCTGAAGACTCATCTCGAGCAGCCGTCCCCGGTTGTGCACTGTAGCAAACCGAGGAAGCAGGCGCAAGGGCGAGGTGGCAATTGCCTTCAACATGGACTCGGGGCGACGGATGCCCGCTAAGTCCTGTATCGCTGTCTTAGGGTGTTTGGAGTGAACACACATCTTGCCGTTCCAGTCCCGAAGGCGGAGGTTGGTCACTGCCCGTGTGGGGCGGCTGGTACCAAACCCAAAGTGACAAAGGTCGTCAAAATGCAGCTCCGAAAGCGAAAGATCCCTGGTCCAGGCTATGAGCGCCGGAGTGGTTCCGACCGATGAGCAGCGTCCTCGCAGGGTCCTCAGCAAGTTCCAGGAAACAAAGGCATTGCAGTTCTTCGTGGCGGGCCAAGAAAGCACAAGGAAGAAACCATCTGTCTTTGCCCCAGGTTTGGAGGTTTGGACTTCCTCCAATAAAGGAGATCTTCCCCTGGAGTGCTGCGATACAGAGTGCACCATACAGGGGGTCATCCAGGAGAGGTCCTTGCCGTTCGGTCTTCGTGTGGAGTCGAACGCAACTACTCTCGGTGAGAGTAGGATAGTGGCTCTCAATACACGTCGAATTGTGTGAACTGGGGGAAGGCCAAGAGACACATGGCCAAGTTAATCCCGCAGACTCGGTGCATCCGATCCAGATGTCGTCTCGTGGTGGGGAGCTTCCGCTCTTCCTCCTCCTCTTTGTCCCAGCCATCAACCGTGATCTTACGTCTGGTCTTGAACGGTTTCTCCTCCAGCTCAGGGAGGGCACTTATGACTTATGATAAGCTTGGCGTTGATGAATCCCAACTCCCCCTTGGCGCAGAAACGGAACTGTGTTTTCAGCATGGCATCGCTCCCCTGCGCCTCCAGCTTAGGCTTGGGCAAGCCCGTCTCCTTGGCCCACTCAGTGAGAAGTTGCTGTATATCACAGAGGACTTCCAGTCCCGAGCGCTCTGAGGCCCCTTGACCCGGGGTCATGCACGAGCACGAGCGAGGTGCATAGATGTTCTTGGTCATGTCCTTTGCCGCCCTAACCGCCTGGAACAGACGTCGGGGCTCCGTGAAGCCGTTGGTTTCAGGGTCGAAACCTAGGGTCCTCGGGCCATTGGTTCTGGCCGTAGCTGCATCGCCCCATCGGTCTGCGATGTTCTCGAGGGTGATGTAACCATCCTTGGGAATGGCACGAGTAGGGGATCTGCTTCCTGGCGAATAGAGTCGCCACCGAGGAGTGGAGACTCGCAATGTCCTGAAAGTAAACCTCAGGAATCGCCTCCGGGGCCTTTGCCAAAGCTGGATTAGCCGCCATGGGTAGGGTCCGGTAGGGTGACCGGGCGAAATTTTCCAAGGACCCACGGTCCAAAATCTTGGGCCAAAATGGCATAAGCCAGTGGCAGACATAACAGTTGCAAACCGGCAAGCTCTCGCAAGTAGTGAATGTCAGAAATCCGCATGAAAATGATACACTAAAACCCAGTCGGGCCCTCCTTTTTGTTGCATGGTGGATCCGGTGTGGCTGCCGGGAGAATCCCTTCTGCAAGGGGGTCCTCCCGTCACGCAGCCCGGCACCTAGTGTTCGGGGCCCCCTCTTCTCAAAAACAGGCCCAACACAGGACAGCCACAACCGGAGGATGACGTCCAGCTAGGGCATGTCCTTCGAAGCCAGGGCCTTGTCCAGGTCTTCGTATCTGACCTTCTCCGTTTTGGAAGCCGTATCCACCAGAATTGTCCGTGGTGAGGCTGCAAGAAAAGGCCGTTTCGCTGGAGTCTTCCTTTGGCTGTTGCCACACTCCCCCCGTCCCGAACTCCGCCGGTAGGGAGAACTAGGTGAAGCACCTGCCACAGAAAATGAAGGAGTCAGAGTCCAGTTGGTAGTCGATGGCGTTTGGGCTTCGATCTCCATCGCGGGTTTCCAGCCACAACCCACTGCGCGGAGATCCTGATCCAGGGGGTGGACCTTTTCTCTTCTGCGCGTAGGCGCCGGAATGCCGTGCTTTCTGCCATCCAGTGGCCCAAGTGAAGGTGACGAGGGATCTGGGCTTGGAAGGCACAGTCTGGCATGAAGACTCGGAAGGAGTGCCAGGTAAAGTCAATCCAGGGGCCCTTGTCCAGGTTTTGTCGCGCCAGGGCAGCGCGTAGCCATTTAAGGGCGCGCTCCGAAGTCGCCGGTCTGGCAATGAAACCATCGTAGACATTGCCCACGGTGGGGATGAGGTATAGTCCATGCCATCGAAAAGGGGGGTGGCCGAGAGTTTGCGCCACACGTGGAGATCAAAGGCGTCCACCAATCCTTGCCAGAGAAGGAGAACTTAGGGATGATGAGGGGGACTGGCTTCTTCTTGACGACCACGACAGAGTGGGTCTTAGTTTGCCAGGCCTCGAACTCCACAGTAGTGGAAGTGACCCTAAGGGTGTCGGGACTTGTGTGCTGCAGATCACTGAAACGAGCGCTGGTGCCGACCTGAAATCTGACAGTGCCACAAATGAAGGAGTCCATCAGGTCAATTCTGGAGTCCGCCGCTCCCGGAAGGGACCGGGCTGCTGTCTCCTCCACCTGTATCACAAAGGCCTTAGACGGCACCTGAGCTTTGCGCATCGGTCTGTGCATCGTGCTGACAAGTCTCCGAGAGGGCTTTCTTCTTCTCTGCGAGCCGAAAGATCTCATGGATCGCCAGCATGCCGAACTTTGTACTGAACCACTTGAGAGTGTCCCACACCCGCTGGCGCTTGTGGGGCGAGACCTCACGATCCCTGAGCGTGTTGAGAAGCGTGCGCACATCGGACTCCTTCCAGGTTATCGAGGTGAAGCCCAGGCGCCTGAGTTCCTCATAGGAGAGGCATCGCATCCTAAGAGTGCGAAACCTAGCATCCCCATGAAAACTCACCTTTTAGGTCCAGGGAGATGACAGTGGCAACCGTTGGTTGATTGTGGTGTGCTCCGACACCTTTTCCCGGCTTCCAGTGTCGCCATCGAGCGATGACACTGGGGGCGATAGCAACTCCTTCCCTAAGGCAAATCCAAGCAAGCCGGTCCTGTTCCGCACGTCGTAGAACGACCTCACTCAGATGATTTCAAGCAAAGGTCTTAAAGGGTCTCGAGGAGGAGTTGTGTGTCCTCTTCACCCCTAGGGCCTGCCAGGAGAGCCAGGGCTCTTTCCATGATAATCTGGTAAAAACCTTGGTAGGACGGTAAGACAAGAGCACCACACGGGGCCCGTTTCCGGGGACCCCCAACACCACGTCAAGTTCGGTCCAGGGCGGCAGCCCTCATGAAGTCCACAATGGCCTGGCGTCACATCAACCTGTTCGTCCTCAAAGGAGCGGCCCGAGCCCCGATCCTTCGCCATCAGGCTGCAAAGGGCCTATCGAGTCTATCGAGTGTTCAAAAAGAGCAGACAAAACATGATCCGGTGCGCCCTAACGAGTGCCCTCCCAAAGGGAGAGCAAAGAAAAACGAAGGCATCCTGAGCCAAAGAAGGGAGCCTCGAGGAAGAAGGTGAGAGGAGAGGAAAGCAAAGAGGGGACAAGAAGCCACACAGCAGCAAACACAGATCAACCCTTTTTGCACGCCTCAGCCAGGAGGTCGACAGTCTTGCGGGAGCCACTTTTCTGGAGGAGAGGCTTTCAGGGCCAAGGGCACCTGGGAGGCCAGGTCAGCAAATCGCTTGCCAATGCCAGCCAGGGAAGTTCGGCAGGAAACCCTCGTTTGGGAGAGCTTCTCCTCCAAAATGCCAGAGGGCAAACTCGAGAAGGCTTTGGTCGAGGAGGTGGCAGGGTAACCCACTCCCATCGTCTCATCCTGCGTGTCCGTCGGACCCGCCTCAGCGCCGGCGAGTCCACCATGGGAACATCAGATTGAGCAACAGCAGCTTCGGGCACAAGGGCACCAGGGGCAGAGGAAACCTGCTCGGTCACCACCACATGCTCGTCTCCCTTCGTCATTAGGCGAGCCATAGCAGCATCCATTTTCTGGAGGCGCTCGGAAAGAGTGGTGTCGTCCACCTCCACAGCAGTAGAGGATGTAAGGGTGGAGTTCACGTCCTCGTCAGCATGAGCGGCCAGATTGTGTGCCAAAGTGGCATGGGCCACTGTCACATCATCCGTAATCTTCTCCCAATCCTGATCGCTGTCTCCTTCCTCACGGGGAACCGGAAGACTCTCGACTGTCTCCAGGCTGGAGGCCAGGATATCATCGACGGCAGGGGCAAACGACGACATGACCGACGGTCGCAAGAGAGAGAAAGCGGGAGCGAAAGCTGCGAAGTTTTCCAAGGACCCACGGTCCAAAATCTTGGGCCAACATGGCATAAGCCATTTTTGCAGACGTCTCCTGACATAACACTTGCAAACCGGCAAGCTCTCGCAAGTAGTTAGCTTTCGGCATACCACCCCGAGATCCCCCAATCGCTGCGAGGCCAAAGCAGACGAACAACTGCAAGGCAACAAGCCTTCGCCACCTTCGCTTCGAAGTTAAAGATTTTTCCGAGATGCTCCTGCCTGGCAGGTGGGAGTCTCACCACCTTCCAAAGCCTGTTCTAAAACCAACTCGGTTATCGCTTCATGAGACTTGTGTTCTGCTTGTTCTGCTTGTGCATATGGCTCAGGGCATAGGGTTGTGCGGAATGTAGTTCACGCAGAGGCTTATACCATGAACCGCGGCCTCAGAACAGATCCGACATAGAACGGACCCGAGAATCCGGCACTTGCTGATTTCAGGCCCTGGTGGATCTCAGAACTTTGAACTAGGTGAGGTGGGTTGAGGCAGAAGTTGCCGAGAAGGCTCCGCTCAAGCGACCAATCCAAGGCTTCCAAAATACTAATCTTGCACACCAACATCGGCAAGCTGAGATCTATGCCCAAAACCCCTCAGCCCACAACCAAAACTATGCATCCCAAACATTGAGTCCGAACATCCATGTATACAGTACACCAGCCATCAACATGTGTCGGTACTGCAGCACAAGCCGAGCGTTGCGCGACAAAGGACCTGAGGCGACTCAGGGCAAAGGCTCAGTGAAGCTCTAAACCCTAAACCGTATGTCCTACAAATTATCTCATAGAGTAGTCATGCCAGGTGCCCAGCAGTGTCCCACATCCATGAAACGTGCCGCAATCGTTGCCTGGACCAGCAACAGCAGGATGCTGCAAAATCTCGACCCTTTGGAGTCCCTAGTTCCATGCGGCGTCTACACACCTTCCTGCATCCATCATGCCCTGATTACGTAGTCCTAGTTGAGCCTCAAGAGCCGGAAAGGTAAACCCTGATGAGAACACCAAGAAGATTAACTACAAACAGGATGCCGGTCGCTGAAAACATGCGCATAACATTGCAGCGGTGATGATGATGGTGATGATGACGATGACGTGGAGGAGAAGGAGGAGGACGACGGCGATGACGATGGCGATGATGTGATTATGAAGATGATGATGGCGACGAGGATGATAATGACGATGACCATGAAGATGATGAACTTGACGTCGATGGTAATGGCGAAAGAAGTAGACAAAGATGACAAAGATGATGATATTGTTGCTGATGTTGTTGTTGGTGCTGATGACAATGTTGTTGCTGATGATGGCGAGGATGATGACGAACATGATGACGACAACGATGATGATGATGATGATGATTATGATTATGATGATGAGGATGATGATGATGATGATGGTGATGGTGATGATGATGACGACGATGATGATGATGATGATGAACATGATGATGCTAGCATGCTCCTGCTGGTGATAACGAACATGTTAACAAAGTGAGGACGCTGTACGGAGGGTGCCGCATGATGCTGATGGTAGCAGTGGTGGTGGTGGTGGTGGTGGTGGTGGTGGTGGTGGTGGTGGTGGTGGTGGTGGTGGTGGTGGTGGTGGTGGTGGTGGTGGTGGTGGGTGGTGGGGGTGGTGGTGGTGGTGGTGGTGGTGGTGGTGGTGGTGGTGGTGGTGGTGGTGGTGGTGGTGGTGGTGGTGGTAGTGGTGGTGGTGGTGGTGGTGGTGGTGGTGGTGGTGGTGGTGGTGGTGGGCGGGTGGTGGGGGTGGGGGTGCAGATGGAGGTGGAGTGACAGCAACGGTAAACTCCTACCAGAGAGGCCATCCTCAAAACCGATGAAGCCCGTCTCTGTGCCCCTCGAAGCCGTGACTGCCCTTCTTTTTCTATTGCCACATTCCCTCTTGCATGAAAACCCCGATAAGCTCGAATGCCAGCAGCAGGTCCCCCGCCGAAGCCGACAGCCAAGACTTTTGCTGGGTGTCTGTGACCTGCAAGTGCCCCGATAAGCACGTCTTGTCTGTCTAGCTACAAAGATTGGCGGACGTAACTTCGTGCTCACGGAGGTCAAGGGGTTTATCTCACGCAAACCCCGCATGCCGACCCTGCAAACCCTACATACAGACCACGTCAACCCCGCAGACGGCAAACCCCGCAGCCGGAGACCCGAACCCCGCAGACCCCGCAAACAAAAACCACACGTCTAAGGTGAGCGTTTGCGTTACAAACATATAGTGTCCTCAAAGCCATTCATATGAAGTATACAACACCAAAACCCAGAAAAAAGAGGGTGGGCGTAGTCGTTACAAACTTATAGTGTCCTTATGTGTCCTTAAAGCTTTACAAAGCAACCCTGGCATACCCTGTGCGATTCCATAACACTCCGGGCATCACACCTAGCGAGAACAAGAGCCCTTAAGCCAGAGTGAAGTGAAGCATTGATAAGAACAACTGATGACCTTGGCCTATGGGTGCAAAAGGTGTCTGATTGGGATTGGGTCTTGGTTCGGGGAGATTTTTGGAGTGTAGCCCATGAGATCCAAAGCGTAAACCCATGTGCTTCGACAGTCTTCAAGGATGATCAACACGCAAGCATTTCAGGTCTGCCGCTTAACCTTCCTGCACACAGTGATACAGCATGCTGAGAGGTCAGCCATACAGTCCACGACTGCAGTCATCCCCTGCACACAGACCAATCCGGACAAACAGGAACGTTACGACCGCCTGGAGGTGCGGGGTTTCCGCCTGTAGACGCAGACTCAGATTCAGAAAGGTGAGATGACATTCCACGAATCTCTTGTATGTCAGCGAAGCAGCTTGTCTGGCGACACCGGTGCCGTGAGGGTGCCAGGGTCGAGACCCTGATACAACGAAAGATATACAGTAGCTGCCGCATCTTTTTGCCGCATGCCTCTGGGTGGGCGAACTCCACTCTGAAAGGAGCCGGCCTGCACGGAGTGGACAGTCACACGAGAAAGGAGCCTCCAGCAGATCTGAAAGACCAAAAGCCCCTTCTCCCCTTTGTAACATCAAAACCACACTTCGGCAATTGCAGAAGACTGTGACTATGTCCTACCAGCAAAGAAACAACTCGGGAGGCATGGTGTGATTCCAAGGGAACGTCAATAAGGGCTGCGGTTCGTGCTTTGACTTTGTGGTGGTGGTGGTGGTGGTGGTGGTGGTGGTGGCGGTGGCGGTGGTGCTGGCAATGTTACTGGTGGTCGTGGTGGCGACTACCGCTGTGAAAGTGGTGGTGCTGGCGGTAGCGGGAGGCAATGGTGGCGGTGGTGGTGGTTCTGGTGGCAGCGGCGGCGCACATGTCTGACGTTGTGTTGAAACTCAGGAAGTGGTTGTCCCGCAGCAAAACTCAATACTCGCGAGCCACCGAGCTGCACCAACAAAACGGGTAAATCATCTCAATGACGGACGCGCCATGCAAAGCTGATCAGCACACCAACTGGGACACTGCTACCACCAACAAGCACGACCGACCAGAACACACATGCAAACCTTACGGCGCAAATGATGGACACCCAGCCTGTGGAGCTCCGTGCGCGTCGATAAGACTTTTATCAGCACGCAGGCAATTCTAAATCACAGAACCTATGCGGTTGGATCGGGATTGGTTGCGGTTGCCTTCTGCACCCATTCTGTCATGATGGCTTCGTCAAACGTGCGGGACTGGACTTTGGGAGAGCTGGCCATCTCTGCAGCGGTGCACTTCTTGAAGGCCACGATTATAAGAATCTCTGCAGGCTACAGCAGGACTTGCAGTTGGAATTTCCAACCAGGGTCAGGGCATGTTGACTTGCATTTATTTTGCATTTGCGGTTTGCGTTTTTTTTGCATTTCAAACGCCTTGCGTTTTTTTTGCATTTGCGGTTTGCGTTTTTTTTGCATTTCAAAATCGCCTTGCGTTTTTTTTTGCATTTGCTGTTTGCTTTTGTTTGCAGCTTGCGTTTTTTTTGCTACTTAGACGAGGTATACCAGTGTATATGCTCTACGTATGTGTTTTCGCAATAGCACTAGATTCTTTACGTACATGTGCAACTACAAACATAATCAAAGGAATCATTCGGAAGGGTATGGCCCGGGTGCAATGCATGGTTTAGATGCTAGTTGAGGCCGCAGAGGCCCGGCGATGGAACTTCAGACTTATGGCTATGCAGCGCAGTCTATAGAGTGGGATAGTTTTAGGAAACGTGCAAAGCCAACGCTTGGCCTTGAGTGCAGACACATGTCAAGACATATATTTCTCACATATGCAAACACAGGGTGCCAGTGCTCCGCGGGAACTTGCCAACCAATTCGGACCAACAAAAACGCTCAGGCGCAGGAGCAGGTGCACAATTAATGCCAGCACGCTACACGGCGCCGGGGAGATGCAACCAAAATGCAAAGAAAACGCCAGGCACCGGGGAGATGCAAAAAAAATGCAAGCAAAATGCAAGGCGCAAACGCCAGTGCAAGGAAAATGCAAAAAAATGCAAAAAAATGCAAAAAAAATGCAAAAAAAAATGCAAAAAAAATGCAAAAAAAATGCAAAACAAATGCAAAAAAAATGCAAAAAACCATTGAACAAAACAAGAAAAACGGCCCAGCACCAGGACCAGGCTTCGGCCCCGCCCACCCCGGCGCGGGGGGCCAGGCGGGGTCAGGGCCGGACAGGGCCGAGGCGGGGTTTGGGCCGGCTTGGGGCCGGGCCAGGGGCGGGCCGGGCCGTGCCCCGCCTGGAACCGGGCCAGGGAGGGGGCGGAGGGGGCGGAGGAGGGGTAAGGGGGTGGGTGGGGGGCCATCCCATGATCCGCAGTTGCCTACAGGCCTAGTGTCCTCGTAAGATAGTGTCTGAGTCTCAGTAGCGAACCCAGAACCTAGTGACCATGGCACGTCGTCTAGTTGCAAAACCTCACAACTGTCAATTTCGAAACACTGTGGAATGACGTATTGGCTGAACACACAAAGCAAGTCAGCAACGACCAGGGACAAATCTGGATTGCTTGAGGAAAGCCGGAGAATGCAGCCAAGATTCAGGTTCATCTTCAAAGCCACAAGGAAGATTTGAGGCAGCAGGCAAGCATTGTAGCGGGATTACCCACACATGCAAACCAGGAACACCAAGAACACATAGACGCCAAAAGAATGCAAACCGGGAACACAAAACAAATGCAGACTCCAAAAGCATGAAAACCCGGAACACAAAAAAAATGCAAAGACAGAATAAATGCAAACACAAAACACAAAGAAAATGCAAACCCGGAACACAAAAAAATGCAAAGACAGAAAAAATGCAAACACAAAACACAAAGAAAATGCATAGGCCAGAAAAACGCAAACCCGCAACACAAAATAAATGCAAACATAATGCAAAACATAATTCTGGACACCCACCCAGTCTGTAGCCCAAAGATTCTTATAAGGCCACGAGGTTCATGCCCCACTCGATGGAGCATACCTGGTGATCACCACTCACGATGCTGAGATCTGCGGCTCCAATGTCATTACGCATCAGGATGTCGATGAACTGCTTGAACTTCGCCACCCCCGACTGGTCAGGTCCGTTGCTAATCCTGTGTCCTTGCAGGGTGCAGCCATAGACGTTTTTGCCGGCTGCCCAATAATTCGTTTCCAGGTCTTTAACGACATAAAGACCACCTGGATTTACGGAACTCCACAGCGAGAAAAAGCTGAAGATCTGGTGCGCCGGATAATGGGACCCGTCGTCGATGACTACATCCAAAGGGCCTGCAAGTAGTTGCATCGTCTCCTTCTTGGATGGGTCACCCTAGTACACGGCAACTTTGTCCCACGCCTGCGACCTTTCCTCTACATGTTCGGTAAAGGCACCGTATGCCAGGCCAGCAATCAGCGATGCATTTTGGAAACACTTGCTCCACATGTGCAACGAGCCCCCACGCTCAGCACCGATCTCCACAAGCTTCAACCCTTGCTTGAACTGAAAAGGGGCAAGCCACTTGTCGTAGTAGCGCTGATTCTGATGTCGGGAGGGGCCCTTGTGGGTGCCCGTATTGGCCATGGCCTCAAGAACATTTGGAGCCTTGGGCAGCCGGGGCACTGACAATCTGACGAACGAATGCCAAACTGATGGCCGCGCTTCTGTATGAAGCTGCTACTGCAGTCCTCTCCATCACCATGGCTAACCGCAGCAGCCACTGCCAAGCAAGCAAATGCCCACTGGAACAGCATGGCAGGCGGTCGCGTGAAAACGGTTCTAGGTTCGAATCTTCGACTGAAGCTTTGAGCAAAAATAGCCATGTCCAGCAAGTGCTCGCTTTGTAACTTTGCTTCTAAGAAACCTGTTTTGCCTCCAACTATGAGTGGTGCGTGTGTTACAGTACTGATTCTCCACCGCGTGTGGCAATGCGAAGGCTCAACGACGCTAAAGTCCGCTGGAGTTTTTCAGAAGCCTGAAGACTCAACTTTCACGCACATGCTTTGAGCGTCATTCCTTGGGACGCCCTCGCCAGTCGAAAAACTCTTCGGAAGCCTTCTAAACATCGTTGAACCGTACACAACATTCACTTGAGAAATCTCCCAGGGCTCATGTCCATGTGAACAAATCCAATAGCAGGAACGAATGCCCCCGCCTGCTTGGCGGCCCCTTCGCAATGAGGGAAAGCTTGCCATCTTCCTCACCTTAGACAGCAAAACAAAGAGAAAGAGAGAGAGAGAGAGAGAGACAAACAAATATATATATATATACACACACATATGCGCACAGTGGTTTAAAATGCAGAACAATTTCAAGCTGTGAGCTTCACACATTGAGCCAAACGTTTCACTTGAGTGGACTGGAGGATGGCAAACTCATCCGCAGCTGCAGCGTTGGACAACTCATGGAAGACCTGTTTTCTCCAAAGAACACGACTTGACCAAACGTACACGGTCGTCGCGTCCGACCCCAGACACAGAAGACTTTCCGTATCTTATCACAACTCGATAATTAAGCAGATCGTCCAGGCCCTTCTTTCTTCTCGTGGCTGCATGGACCGTGTTCTTTTCATCACATCAAGGACTTGCTGGGCAGGAGCCGCTGTGGCCCTGTCCCAACTCATCCGAGCCCTCTTGGTTGCACGGGAAGAAACAGGCATCTCCAAATACAAAGAACTTGAGCGAGAGAAGAGGCTCCGGCAGGCCAAGGTGTGGACCGCAACAGGTCAAGTCATTCTCTGTCTTGAGAAAAGGGCTTGAGACGCAGCTGCAAAAACAAGGCCCTAAACCTAGAGTTGCGAAAGGTTGCGACAAACAGACCCGGCAATAAAGAACTGCTTAGTCTCCCAAACGCCCACCGACAGACCTTACCGAGAAATCTGGAGGCAGCTTAGCAAGCGGCTGAGACACAGCCATTTTCCTGGCAACCAACAAATGCTTGAGCTGGGTTGTGCGCCTCAAACCTGTCGATTTAGTTAGGGTTGACGGATGCCGGCTCACGACTTCGGGCTCAATGGACTATTGGTTCTGAGGCCTAGGGACTCTGAGCAGCTTAGGGTCAAGGGTGCGCAGCCGATCCGATAGCTGAGCAACGGAAGGACCGTTTACGAGTAGGCACATGACTGTCTTAGCACTGATGTACTTAGCAATCCGGTGGAAGACGTGGGTCGGACCTCAGGTACTTGATAAAAGGGAGCCAGGCATGCGAGCAGCGGAGGTCTGCGCCAGCTGGTATTGTACCGGCCTTAAGGTCATGTTGCCAGGAGGGAGGCTTGAACAGCCGTTGTACCAGCACTGTATTGCAACTACAACGTCTAGCACAGGTACCAAAAGCGTCGAAGTCACGAACGACGGCACAAAGAAGTGCTACTGGCCGTGGTGACGATCAGCATACACGCAAGCCTCATCGGTCATCCCCTCGTGTTTTGCAGTGTTTTCGCAGACGAGGGAACGAGTGTGATGCTGAGGTCAGCATTTGATTGCTGCACAGGCCGAACTAAATCTATCGAGACCGTCTTTCGGATAAGCCCATGCAATTCCCTGCAGCAGTTGGGTTCTGTCTGATGATGTTGATGAGGATGGGGATGATGATGATGACGATGATGTTGCAGAAAACGATGATGACGACAATAAGGGTCATGATGATGATGATGGTGATATGGCGATGACGACGATGATTCTGCTGGTGGCCATGGTGACAACAAACTCGCGGTGATCAGGAAGATGACGGATATGAAAAGATAGCGATTACGTGATGATTGGTATTGATGATGGTGATGCTGATGATAAGGATGGTGATTGTGACGTTGCTGATGATGCTGCTGTGAAACATGATGATGAAGGTGGTGATGATGATGAGATGATGCCACTGGCAAAGCCATAAATGGTGGCCGGAACTGATGGTGAAGTTGGCGATGCCACATGACAGAAGTAGGTTTCGTCATCGCATCATGCTTGTCATACTGTCGTGTAAAGTTTCGGGCAACTGCATCACGTCATATCCGCAGCGACCCTGCGCCGACCACGATGGAATTGGAATACTGGACCGCCCCGTGTGATCGAAAACTTTACACTACCATATGTGCAACAAACCCCACAAGCCCTGCATGTGTTGGTCCGGATGACACAGGACAATGGTTTTCGTGGTCCAGCAAAAAAAACTACGAACAGGACACTCGAACTGGGACTCGGTGCGCATAATCTTCGGACGGCTTCATGAGGGCGCACGCCGGTATTCGCACCTTGGTTAACGAACGAAGGCGTTGAACAAGTATGCTTAGTCGTTTGTCCATACCCAACACAAATTTGTTCCATGTAACAGACAGAAGTTGATGCATCGTGTTTACAGACATTCGATATATGTACTCATTCACACAAGCAGCGCGCAAACACACAGACATTCAAACACACAGACACGCAAAACAGACACCTTCTTTCGCACGCGTGAACATACGCACTTTGACACATAAATAAACGTATATATATATATATATATATGTATATGTATACAAAGTATATATATATCTATATATATATATATATATATATTACACAGATACACTAAGCACCCACACATCTTTTTCTTTCAGACGCTGCAGAGAGAGCTCCGCTTTGCGAGGCTGTTATGACAGGGAGCCACCCCGGCTGCTGTGAGCCATGTGCATTTGCACACGTCGGTGAGAAACGTGCTGGCAGTCATAGCAATGATCGGGACCTGCCACGAATGGCCCATTGACGTCTCGAACATGCTCAGGACTGCATGGTGCGGCAGTAAAAGTACAGATAGCCAGTGGTCAGCGCATGTGAAGGCATCACAGACTGAATGATCGGCACTTTTGAATCGTCGCATTGCCAGAAGATGGGCTCCGAATCAGGAGGATAAGTGCAGAGGAGTGCACGGTAGTGACCGGAGGCTGCATTGGGACCCTCATGTAGGATGATTGCAATCAGCTGATATTCGCAGTGGCGAACATTCAAGGTAGAGTCATGTGGGATAGGACGATGCTGAAAGCAAGGTATCAAAATGCGAGGATCCGGCAACACCCTAGTGACATCCTTGGCACCAGTGGCCGTGGGGCTAAACCGGTTAACCTGCAAAACCAAAAGACTCGGCTCACTGTCCATGGCAGTGAGTCCAGCTGCTGCTTGATCCTTCCAGGCATGAATGAGTCGCTGAATTGTGAGCCTGCCGTTAGAGCCACTGTTGCACTGAGATGGAGGCATAGCGAGGAGCATAGGCCATGCGTCCCCACAGTCGCGCACCTGGCAACGGGGGTTGCTGCTATCTGCAATAAGAAGACGGTTTTGCCACCTGCCCAAGAGCAGATCCGGAATGACAAACCTGCGAGAGAAGACAAGGTACTCAGCCACGTCATGCTGGGAGTGGGGACACGCCCAACGAGCATGCAGAAGTGACCATTGAAGAGAGGACCAAAGGTCCGGAGCAGGCGCCTGTGTGATCATTCTCCGCACAACTGAATGCATGGCCGCGGACCAAATCACCTGAGGGCGGGCCGTGCCGGAACAGATTAGTTGGTTGGCCCAACTGAGGCAGCAAAGGATGGAGTTAGCATAGCAGTGATTGGAAGAGTTGGTGATACGAAGCAACACAGGCGACTGGGTGTACAAGCGATCTGAGTGCAGGACCCCTGCAGGCGACGGGCGAGCTCGGCTGCTAGGGCTGATCGTCCCATCTTCTCCGGACGCAGAGATCCGCCCACCAACTGCCAAATCGCTGAGTTGGTCAGCGATCGGAGGCTCAGATAAAGCTCGGCAGCTTCCGGCGACCGAAACCCCACCTGGAGGAGGAAGGGTACAGTGGGCCCTTGGAGTGGGCCGCTGAGGCGCTGAGTGGAGTGAAAGCGCATGATAGCCAGGGGACAGAGACACTGCTTCTGGAGGAGTTGCAACTTCTCGAGCATCGTGGAGACAAGGATGGGTTCCTGATCCTGACGAGGTGCCAGAGATTTGGTCTCACGGTGTCCTTGATTCTTTTCACCAGGGCCTCCAACATGGTGTGAAAGAGGAAGGACCTCAGGGGCAGGGCAATCTCGTCCATCTTCTCCTGCTTCTGCTCTTTCAGGGCATTCCAGTGCTGGGATTTCTGTACGAAGAGAGGAACCAGGGAGAGAGCACTCTCTCGCTTGAAGAACATGACAAAGCCGTTCTGAGTCCTGTCTATGCCCATTTGGTCCTCGTGACGTAGGAGAAATTTGCCCAGCAGCCACATCATACCGTCCGGGGCCTTGGTGTCCGACTCTGTCGATCGGCGGATTGGCTGTCGGCGAGGGCCGTTGTTTCTGGGCTGGCCCAACTGATTGCCCTTGCCTCTCCCACCCCGGCCGAAACCACCCTTGGATTCCGGTCTGGCCCATTTCGCGTCGCGCTCCTTCTCCTGATCCTCCGCATCCTCCATTTCGTGACGCTTGTTCGCCGCATCTAGATCCATGGCTCCCTCTCCCCAACACTGGAGAAGCTGCAGCTCGGCCTGAGTCTCCCGTCTCTGGGCCTCCTGAAGAGAGAGGCCGCTGCCCAGAGCCTGTGCGGAGGCCAAGCTCATGTCGGACGAGGAGGCGAAGGGTGATTGTTTGCTGTAGAACAGGACACGCGGCAACGTGTTGTGTTTTAAAGGACACCGTAAGCCTACACCAGCTACAGGGGGAGCGGGCTGCAGCTGTACGTGTTGTGAGACAGTCAGCTCGCAAGGACTCTTGAATCGCAGGAAGCGGGTGTTGACGCTTCAGATGACGAAAGATATCCTGTGTGCGAGTGAACCACTGATGACAAACAGGGCAGTGTCGCAACCCTTGGTCCGAGTGCATGGAGCGAAGGTGGCGAGCCAGTGGCTGCCAGTCATCCTGAATAGCCAGAGCACGGATGGCGGGTCGTTGAAGGAGTGGTAGTGCATCCGAGGGGGCAGCCGAGGGAGAAGAGGAATCAGCCTGTATGGGTGAGGCAGCATGAGGGTCGGAGCACTCAGCACTATAGGAGCAGGGACTGTGGCCGAGACAGAGGAGGAGGCGGCAGGTGCAGCTTGGTCCTTGACCAGGGAACTGTCGTGGACCTGAGCCGGGCAGGAGTTGGTGTAGTGACGGTTCAGGAAGGGTGGCCAGCCAGCAAACTTCCGATCACACATGGTGCAGTGGGGCATACCATCCTTGGCAAACTGCATGAACCTTGCTCTCAGCTCTTGTTGCGAGGGAGGACGCGAGTGAGAGACAGTCCCGTCGGCTAAAGAGGCCGAGGTGGCAGCCGCTGGTCGCTGGTCCTGGTCGGAGTGGGCGCAACTGCGACCTCTGCGGGAGGTGTGTCGTCATGGCCTGACGACTTCCCATGCGATTTGGTGCAGTGGGTTCGAAGGGCAATCAAGGTGGGGAAGGTCTGCGGGCAGTGTGGGCAGGTGTAAGTACGCGTAACAATGCCAGAAACATCCGCAAGACCACAGCGAGAGGCCACATCCGAAGGCTGTACGGCAGGAGACTGATGAGCATGAGGATCAGACACAAAAGAAGCTGGGAGGGCAGCGCGCCAACGCAGACGCTCAGGGGTATCGAAGGCCTCGATGCTGAGGGTGGGACGATTCTGACGTGCCTGCAGTTGATTGGATAGCTGAACGATGGGGTCCTGGAAGCGGAGCCTGGCGTAGAGATCAGCCGTTGTTTCGTAGGTGATCCAGCTGGGAGACTTGAGGACAAGACGGATCTGCTTGGCCACTATTTGGCGAATGAGATCAGGGCCTCGAGGAGGTAGGCCGGTGCTGGTGAGCCCATACCTCAGCGTGGAGAAAACACAGGCAGTCCATAGCTGCAGGCGCTGCTTGGGCAGGATGTGCTTGGATCTGAGCAGTGAGAATAGGCGACTGAAGTTGGCCCAGCTTTGCTTGATTCTGACTCGGAGGGAGAGCTTCTCGAAACAGTCGTAGCTCAACACAATGCCCAAGTAGGGGTGTTGTTTACGAAAGGGCAGGTCCAACGGCCCAGTGGCACACATCACACGAAGACAGGGGCCTTTGTCCTTGTGGTGCTGTAAAAGAGGACGCGAAAGTCTAGACTTGGCGGGGCCACGAAGTCCGTCAAGGATTACTGTTTTGGAGTCGCTCACTGACATTCCAAGGGAGGTCAGGGTGTCAATAATGAAAGCGATGTCCTGCAAGATGCGAAGGATATCCTCAGGTTCATGGACCTGCCACTGCGCAAGAATATCATCAGAGAATGCTGTAAGGCACGAGAGAGGAATTTTCGTGCTTAAGAGGTGGAGGACATAACAGATGAAAATGCTTCACAGTGCAGGAGATAAGCTGCATCCCTGACGCACTCCTGAATGGAGCTCAACAGCAACGGAGTGTGATTTGTGCGTGATGTGAAGAGTGGCTTGTCGGTGGATATGGAGAATAAGGTCGATGAGTGTGGGCTCCACAGCCGCAAAGACAAGAGCTTTGTGCAGGATCTCTCGCGGTAAGCAATCGAACGCACGAGAGAGATCTAAAGAGAGGGTGATCCGTCCTTTGCATTTGCCTGCCACATGCCCCTGGCGACGGAGGTGTATGTTATACTTTTGCGCTTCGAGAGTAGTACGAACAGCAGCGCAATGGGAGCATGCTCGTTCGATAGAGTCTTCCACTGATCGGCCCCCAATATACGCAAACTGGGGGAGACGAGTTGCAAGATGTTGTACAGTCGGGCGCAAAAGGCCAGCCGCCAGTTTCGCCAAGCATTTAGAAACCGGATGAAGGAGGGCAATAGGCCTGAGGTTCTCAGGGCATTTCGGAGGCTTTGTTGGCTTGGCGAGAAGGCATAGTGAAGACTGAGGCCACTGCCCCGGCATAGGATCCGCCATATTAGTGAGCCATTGGGTCAGTGCCGGGTGGATGGCGGTAGCCACCTGCGTAGCAGCGAGGGACCAAAGCGGGGCCGGTGCGAGCCAAGAGGGCAAAGCTTTCCCAGAGGGAAGTTGCGCAATGACGCTGGTAAGCTCATCAACATCGAACGGGGAAAACGAGTGGCCTGGTGGATGAGGCTCCGGCGAGGATGAACGGTAGAGGCATCTGAAGTAGTCTTGCAGGGCCTGCGCTTCTTGAGCCGTGGTGAGGGGAGTGCCCTGCTGGTCTCGGAAGAGAATAGGCCTGTGTGCAGTTTTGGGGGCAAGACGCTTCACTACCTGGTAAACAGCTGTGAGACCTTTATGGGCTGCCTGCTCTGCCTCCTGTAAGATCTGCTGGATTTTAAGTTATTCTGAGCACAAA